ACTTAGCTTGACTCTGCCTGTTAAGTTTTTGGCCATTAAGAGTATAATATTTGAAGTTAATTTTATTCGATTTTCTAGTGAAGGACAAAACAAAACATTTATTAATATTTGAATAAATATGATTATAAGTACACCATCTCGCCACGGTTTCAATATCCGTTTGTAATGCTTCAGCGCCTCCAAGGGTAGCCACTTCGGAGAAATGTTGTAAATCGTCCGCAATGTCGTGCATAATGTAATAGGCTGGGACATTTTAATTGCGCAACAAGGTCATTTATAAAGACTATGAAGAGTAAAAATGATCATGGGGGACTGATATTTTTGACGTCCCGATGCCATAGTTAATCCGGCTACTATTAGCTTTTAAATATTAATTTTGGTAATTAAACATAGGGAATTAAAAAATAAGTTAAATTAAATTTTATATAACTTATACCGAAATTTTCACTAGCTATATACTATACTAGAGAGAGTGCTACTCTAACTGTAACAAAGTCGACGATTACAAGATTAATGGAAAGCGCCTGACATATTTCATGCTCAGTAAGACAACTACGTCATTGTACGCGGTCGGTATTACGTCGCAGCTATATAGTAAGTTAGGTAAGGATCACGCTCTCACAGAATACCAGAGTGAAATAGCAACTTAATGCAGCTGTGTTTCGTATAGTGAGCTTAGAGAACCGGAAATCCCTTTTACCGGTAAAGAGACATTCAATATTAGTTCTCGGAGGTGACAATGCATCTGCATTTTGGTTCTTAATCGTAATTAAAATATTTTTTTTTAGAATAAGGTTGACAAACGAGCACATAGTCCGTTCACATGATAGTAAGTAGATGATGTGGCCCATAGACATCTACATTTATCCTCGATTAAGAATCAAAACTCAAATGCCTTGTCACTCCTGAGGACTAAGGTGGAATGCCCCGTTTCCAGTAAAAAAGGGTCTTCGGATATCTACACTCACCATACGAAAAACAACAGTATTAAGCTGCTAATTTTACGTTGGTATTCTGTGAGAGCGTGGTCCTTTCCCGGTCGAGCCGAACCATTCGTACTACATACCTGCAGCGTGGCTCTATCACGTATCAACTTCACGTATATTGGCCACAGCATCCAGTTTAATATTTATACAGTGGTGGCTTGAAATGACGGTTCCGTAACGCAGTGGTTAAGCACTTGACTGTGGCGCCGCGGAACTCTGCGCTGATACAATTGCCGCACGAATCAAGTATAGTATTTTTGAGTCACGATGGCGGGTTAATCTTCCTTGTAGTGTCGGTGCACACGTATATTGTTTTAATATGCGTTGTCTCGAGAGCTCTATAGCCAAAAATATTATTAAGTACCGTCAGAATGGAAAGTATTCAAAAAAAAAAATGTCGCACTTATGCAAAAAAACAGTTAATGTTTCCTTTGATAATCAGCAGAGTAAAGATCGTCCGCCTTGGTAAGATAAAACATCTATACCCATACGATAGCCTAATTAAGTAATAGTTTCTGGTCTAGGTGTAATTTGCAATGAAATGTTTGTAGTACGTCTACACGAAGCAGATATTCATTGTGTGAAGACAACATTTAAAAAGCTATACTTAATTGTAACTTCAAAATAATTTACTCCTAAAAGACTATTCTTTGCCTAATATGTTTTATAGGCTAATACGTAAACGTACGCTCATTTAATCATTTCAACTGATCAGTTCAAAATAAAACTGTTGATATTTTTTAAAATATCGGATTTTCGATATATCCATGAATAAACTTATATATAAGATTCCGATATAAATATATCTATAATGATTGATATATCGAAAATCCACTATTTAAAAAAATATTAAAGTTTTAGTTCGAACTGATCAGTTGGAATGATCAGTTTAACTGACCGTGTGTGGCGTCCATTACACTTTCATTTTAACCTTTTGAGATTCTAAGGAATATCACAATCGCGTCGTCACATTAAAACAAAGACAAAATAACGGTAGAAATTTTATCGCCTATTTTGAATGGTAAAAAAAAATAAAAAATGGTGGAAAAAAGAACCTTTTTTTCTCACCGTACAGGATGTGAATAATGTGTACGTGAAATGGAATGAGATCGATCCATTTAAGATTCTGTTCTTAATTTTCACGTTTTATTTTTTACTATTGTATCACGAAAAAAACTAATTTTAAGGAAAAGTTCAGATTGGCCGCAAATCCAACCATTTCCAGGAACAACTATAAAAATGTCGTTCGCCACAATCTCCGTGTCGGGAGAGTGCTCAAATAATGTTTTTTAAAGTTCAAAATCCAAAAGGCAAAGCGTCGCCATCTTTTGTCAACAAATTGAATTTTCCACACCGGCGGTCCGCGATTATTGGGGAGAAAAGTCGGCCAAGTGCAAATTGAATCACTCTGAGTTCCGCGTTTTATTGTTTCGTATATTTGTGCTAATATTAAAATAATCCACAACTATTATAATTTATCCAATGGCTTGACACATTGTCGATCGTAAAACCTCGTTAAAGATAAATTCATTTTTTTATATACGTAAAGGTAACAAACGAACATACGGTCCACCTGATGGAAATCAGATGTTGTGACCCATAAACATCAACATCTATCCTCGATTAATGAAAATTAAATCAAAATGCAGATACGTTGTCACGCCTGACGATTAAGATAGAACGCTTCGTTAAAAACCATCTCACTCTTTATACGAAACATAACAGCATCATACAGCTATTTAACGCTGGTGTTCTGTGCGAGCCTTGTCCTTTCCCGTTTAGCCCACCTATTCATGCTTCTACGATAATACGCTGTAGCGTAGCTTTGCCAGGTTATATTATGTTTAAAATTCAATTGCACTTGTTGCTTCACTACGATAAGTTCATTTGTGAACTCCTCTTCTTCATCATTCCGTATTACTCGCTGCTGAATAACTGCCTTTCCCGTTACTGAGAAGATTTACCATAATTGCCACCCTTGGTATGCAAAATATCGGCTGTCTGGATACATTATGTTTCGCGTAGACGGAATAGTTATGCCGTCATCCATCGGAACTTCTGGAGTCTTTTTTTATTTTCTACTATCATGCCTTCCGATAAACAATGAAAAAAATGGAGTGATTAAGTTTCTTTACCTGATTTATAATATTAGCACTTAATTTATTAGGTTAGTCATTATTTTATTGTAACTAAACCGTTTTTACTTATACACTGAATCTTAGAACGATTATAACCTTGGTTCACTAAAATAAATTTTATATACGTATACGTAGTAGAGCTACGCTGTAGCTTATGGTTGTAGCATGAATGGGTCAGCTCGACTGGGCAAGGACCACTCTCTCACAGAATACTAGCATAAATTTGCCGCTGCTGTGTTTCGTATGGTAAGTGAAGAGAATAAAGAAGAGAAAAAGAGAAGAGAACCGGAGACCATTTTTACTGGAATTGAGGAATTCCAGCTGGTCCTTAGGGGTGACAACGCAATTGATTCTTAATCGAAGGTAGATGTAGAACAGCAACCACTTACCATCAGGTGGATTGTGTGCTCGTTTGTCACCCTTATTCTTTAAAAAAAATACGTTCATTAACAATTCCATAAAGATAAATGGAAATTGAATAAAATATACCAAAATTGGAGTTAAGATAAATAAATTGTAACAAAAAATCATAAAGCTGCAGAAGTTTATAGAACAAGTATTGTAAAGTTCAGTTTGATGTTATAAACGAAGACAAGACGTGTCACTCAGACTTAATGTATACACGCAACTCTGAACAATCTTGAAGAGAATTTCTTCGTGAATAGAAAACTAAAATATAAAACTGGAATTGACGTCAGCAATTGCAATAATTTAAAGATATCGTAATTTCTTTGAACGTAACGACGACGATGGTCAATGCTCGCGTCATTTTAATGAAATGCCATCACATACTAAATATAACATCACATTTAAATGTAAGCTCTATATTGTATAGCGTTCAGTTCATTTTTCTAAATTTAAATACTGTGAACACGTGAAGCGTTAGATATGCGGCGTACGCTTCAGAATATCATATCTTGCTGTTGTGACGACAAGAATTGAATAAGATCGTAATGTTCGTGGTCACATCATCCTCATTAGAGAAAAGTCCACTGCTCAGCAAATGCCTCCGCCATTTTCTATCTTCCCTATGTTTGACTTGTTACCGGGTAGATGCTGCTGCTAATTTTCTCTCCGTTGCCTCTTAAGACACCCAGGCGGTGATTTGTTGTAATGAGAAAACCCACTACCACAACAGGACGTACTACGCCGCATTAGTACGGCGACTGTTGGTATAGTTTACCTTTAATTGTTACTTTGAGAAGATTTCTCTACCTGATGAAGCTTGCGAAGTCAAATAGGGAATACCAAGATTATAAGATACTTATTGACGCTGATTTCGAGTTGAAGCGGCGTATTAGTTATATCATTTGAGACAGCTTTAACGTTACCACAAATGTATAGTTCAGTTTTAAGTGTAAAGCTCTGCTCCTGTATTCAAACTTGAGATAAGATGTCTCATAATAACCTAATGAATAAAACTATTCAGCTGAATTACTATCGAATGATGTGGTTGTCTATATTTTAATTGTAATATATCTTACGAATAGCTATTGGACTGATTTATAAGACTACAGCCACGCTACATTCATGGGGATAAACCAAAAATATTGCATAAAGGAACAATAGGACTTTTTCTATTTTATTGGTTGAGGCTGTGTTTGTCTAGTAATTATTGATTTGTGTTGTGTGTTTCAAACTCGTGTTTTTCTGATATATTACCGAAAATAAATGAAATAAAAGAGAGCATTCATGAGAAAATGATTGATAGCGTTACGATGAAATTAAAAGAGTACGAAAGAATCAATCAGCGAAGAGAGTAGGTGTACAAAACTGGAGGGAGGACTTCAAATGCTTCCCATTTCCACCCACTTCTTGTTTCATTAAAAATACCAATAATAATAGTAATAGGTCGATAGTTGTGCGCAAAGTTATAATGGCGTTTTCTGGGACAAATATCAGTTTACCCCAGCCGGATATCACGCAGAAACTAAAAGAGCATATAAATGACCTGAAGCAAAGTATCGCTGCTTGGGAGAAGTGGATTCGGCAATATACTGAGAGGTTAAGGCGGTTCAATCAGAATCGTCTCTTCCAGAGTGGTCAGAAGAGGCTTTATAAATCAATGGAGCGACCAAAGTTATGTGGAGCGCGCCCAGGGCCGGATCACGCCGACACTGTCGCATTCTGGCGTGGCCTGTGGTCAGAGCCCGTAAATCACAGCGAGCGCCCTTGGATGGAAGTGTGGCGAGCCCGAGTGAGAGTGTTATGACTATGGACCTGTCACCATAACACCGGAAGACGTGGCTGAGGCGGTCCGTAGGGCTCCGAATTGGAAAAGTCCGGGACTCGACGGGCTGCATCACTACTGACTGAAGGGGTTCGTAGTGTGTCACGCTGTGCTCGCCCGATAGTTTCACGAGGCTTTCGACCAGAAGTGGCTTCCGAGCTTCTTCACTACTGGGATTACTTACTTGGTTCCTAAAGATCAGGATACAACAGACCCGAGCATTTGCTTAGATTCCATTGAATCAAGTTAATTTACATATACACAAAATTTGGTGGTATTGGTGTAAGAAATCTTTCTTGCGTTGCATTGCATGCTTTCCTTGCTTTCGTACATAGTGTCAATGACTTATGTAAGATAATTTTATACTACGTGATTTTTTACCGTCTGGAAAAAAAATTCAGTGCCCTAGTTTTCTATTCCGTTCATCTGTTACACCCTTTATTTTTCAGACGGTGAAAATCATCCATTAGAACAAAGTAGTAGACCTTTGCATTGCTACTGAGGCAAGGCAAACATGGCTAACGCTTTATCCCGGCGAAAATGTTCCACTGGAAGTTAACCAACTTCCATTTTTTAAGTGGTAGAGCTATGAATGACGAATGAGTCAGCTCGACCGGGAAAGGACCACGTTCTCACAGAATACCAGCGTAAAATAGCAGCTTAACGCTGCTGTGTTTCATATGGTAAGTATAGACAACCAGAGACCCCTTAGTCCTCATTTTGCATTTTCAATTTGATTTCATTCTCATTGCATTTTGATTCGTAATCGAGGATAGATGTAGATGTCTATGGGTCACAGCAACCACTGTGACTATGACTGTGCGTGGACTGTGCGCTCGTGTGTCACCCTTATTCTATAAAAAGAATCAACAAAACCAGTGAGTAGTATATTCTGTTGGTGTGGAGTGTGCAGAAAGATTTATAATTTCTATAGTGACCAAGATCAGGCCCGCCTTCTAGCTGTTTCGACTTAGGAATTTAGTCACAGGTTACACGCTTTAGCATCAAGTAATCTCTGGACAATGCTTCACGGGGAAATATAGCGCATCACCGTAGAAATCAGCCTAGGAGCGGCAATTTGTAAACCTCACCAGTGCCCTTATGGTAGCAGCGTCAACGAGTTTGTTCTCTACGGACTTTTATGTAAGAAAAGTGGAGGTAGTTTTTCCCGTCACGGTTTTTTAAACGGTGATATCCGACCTCTTGTCTTGTCTCTATAAATGCTCCCTAGGTTTTAGAGCCTTGTGCAATATTTGGAGATGATGGCAAGAGACCCGACGGTATGACTTTGGTCCCTTGGGAAAGAGGTAAATCTTTAGTGTGGGATGCTACTAGACATCTCATCACAAGGGTACCTCGTTTAGAGCCGCAACGACATCAAAAGTAGCTGAATTAAATAAGTGGCGCAAATATGAATTTTTGAGAGAAGACTACATATTTGTGCCATTTGATGCAGAAAATATCGGTCCGTGGAGACCACGTGCGGTATAGTTCTTAAAGGAAATGTATCTATGTGACAAAAGGGCTAGTTCTTTTCTTGCTCATAGGCTAATTATAGGCATTCAGTGAGGAAAAACAGCCAGCGTTCTTCACACAATACCACGTGAAGTAGGACTGTGTCACAATTTATATCTTTAGTTTTAGTTTTCCTTTATTGTATTTTTTTATTATTGTGTGTAGTTTTTTTTAGTTAAATTAATTTTATACTATGTTTTAATAACACAATTTAGATCAAAATCATTTAATTTAAAAAAAAACTTTTTTGTTATTGTAAATGTAAGGCTAAAATCGATCGCCTTTTAGCCAGAAAACTTTAAATGTAAATTGTTCTTTCTTCTCATTCTTTCTTTGTCATATTTAAATAATTACCGTTAAGTTTGAAAAAAAAAGTTTTTACTTTATTATGGTAATTCTCTACAAGGTAAGGCACGTCGTAGGAATAGACATGGGTCTGGTATTAAGCCCTGAAGAATAGCCATTAATATAAAGCGGCTGGAAGAACTTTTACTATTGATAATAACGTTCCCTATTCTCATGCTTAAGTGTGAAATATTAACTTTAAACACAATGTTTTTAACACCTTGATTATTGTAGCTTCCTGATTAGTGTTTCAGATGGGAACACAGTAAAGGCTCTTGAGAAGCTTCAGATGTGCTCAAAGCATTCCTCGACAATTATCATACGCAGAAAACATATTTAATCAACTTAACGTGACTAATTACATTCAATCAACCGAATAATAAAACCAAATAATTTTAATAACCTAACCAAATACATTAAATCAAATTACCGGCGTCGATTGACGTGCGACGTGCTACTTGTGAAACTCAATTGATTTTATGCAGCAATTTATTTATTTTCATTTAACTTAACAATTGATCTAATATATTCAGTTTAATAACATTTAAGTATTTGAAGAAATCAATTTTATTTATATAATGTATATACAACAATATTTTCTCTTTTATTGTATGAAACATGAGTGGGAATATCAAAGAACAGTTATTTATTAATATTAGAGACGATTTACAATCCCCAGATAAATCTGTAAATAGAATACGGGATGCATTTTTAGGTCGCCATCCATTAGTTTAGACCTAACAACGTCTTTAAAATAAAATTTAGGACGAGGTCGAGATAAATGAGTATTAATTGGGTAATCAAAATTTTGAAAAAATGTCTCTTTTAATTGAAACGTAATGATTTATTTATTGTTTTATTAAAATGAAAACGGGAATACGCGAAAGTAAATATTTTTTGCTGATTCTTTTCACAATTAGTAAAACAATTATTGGTGCACGACAATGCTCTAGCAAGCTGCATCCTCGAACCCCTCACACCTCGTACATTCGATGATAATTGTAAATATGTTCTGAAAAAAGTGAAAATTTGTATCATTGGAGATATTACTATGGATTCATACGGTAGTCTGTGAAGCCGAAATACTTTTACTATGGCATCGTTTGATATGTATATTTAATCCCCCTTTACCAGTAAACAGCCTACCGTTAGTACAATTTTGACACCGTAGGAAATCCAGCTGTGAATGTTCCGGAGCGCCGATATTCATTTAAAAACGTAAAGTAATGTTAAAAATGTATACTGATCTCTACAGTACTCAAAAGTCTTTATATTATATAACTTAATCTTACTCTGCATCTTTCCTGTTTAATTCATAATTCATAATTCTTTATTGCATGTCACAAAGTATAAAGTTGGAACAATATATTTACAGAACATGTGACAACCTGTACGGGCGTAGCATATTAAAACAGAGTTTAAATTTTAATTAATATAGAATTCATTTTCATTTCATTCAAATTACAGTACTTATAGTAGTATTTATAGTACACGATATATAAATTATATTATAAAATATCAGACTAAATAATATTACACATTTGTTTTAAAAATTAAATTTCATTAAATATTGTCAACTGATCATTCGTCATTTATATCATATAAATAAAGTTTAAAAATTTTGATGAAAAATACTAACAATGTCAAATATGTAAATAGAAATAGAGAAAATTGTCAAATAATTAAAATTGATTTATAATTTATCATTAAAATATTCATTCAAACTGTAATATATCTTTACAATAAGCATTTTCTTGAGTACTATTTCAAATTTACGACACTGGAGGGCTTTTATTGTATTAGGTAAATGACTGTAAACCCTTATAGCCATGTAATAGGGACCATTTACATATAATGTGAGATGTGTGGCAGGAGCAACCAGATTATAACCTCGGCGTGTGCCGTAGCGACTGGGTCTATCTTCAAATCGCTGGAAATAATGAGGATTTTTCCTAACAAATCGGCATAATTCAAAAATGTACATGCTCGTTACAGTTAGTAAGTTATATCTGGGGAACAACCTTCGACATGAATCTCTTGGATCAGCGAATGTGATGATTCTAAGGCAGCGTTTTTGGAGCATGGATACCGCGTGTACCTCGGTAGAGTTTCCCCAGAATATGATGCCGTATCTTATCCAGGCAGCTGCGTGGCTGTGGTACGCAGTAAGTGCGCACTGCTCATTAGTATCCTTACGTAGCTCACGCAGGGCATAGCAAAAACTGCTCAACTTACTCACAACACTTTCTACATGAGTTTTCCATGAAAAAGTTGAGTCTATTATTATCCCGAGGAATGAAAATGTGCGAACTTCCTCAATATTTATACCTTGGTAAGATATAGCGAGCGGGACTTCTGATCTCTGATATGGACGAAACTGCATTATTTTGGTCTTTTCAAAATTTAGTAATTAGCCTAAAACCTCTAATTCATTCACAATTTTTCTAAGGCATCTCAACTACTTAGATTTTTTTGTTTACAAGTAATTATAACTGTCGCGTCATCTGCAAACAAAACGACTCTATGTGGTGCTACTGAAGGAAGTTCGTTAATATAAATAGAATTTTTTGGATTTACTTAAAGGTGTTGAGTTATAGGAATTATTGACTGTTTTTCTCAATTTTACGTCGTCGATACTAACACTTTTGTAGAGTTTTATAATTTTTTCTTGTTCTAAAATTTTTTTGGTAAGTTTTCTATTCGTTATGCTTAAATTGTCCACCTCTTTGTTCGCTATAATTAGTTCTGTACGTAACCTTGAAACTTCTTCTTTTAACTCTTGTATGATTAAGCAATCTCTTAAGTCGTCGTCTGGTAGACTGCGAGAGGTTTTTTGTAAATTTAATGAATGAGAGTGTGTATTAGTCGTTGACATAAATGAGTCTGATAAATCTGGAAGTGATTCTGATAGTTTTTTATTTTTCCGACGAAAGGTGACAAATTCTGTGTACTCGTCATCCACGTCTAGTGCATCGAAAGAGTTAGTTGTGGGTATATTTATATTTAGTTGGACTAAATTTGGTAGTATATGATATTTACATAAATCGCATAGGCATTTTTTTCTTTTTTCGACATCTAATAAGAAGAAAATCTTTTCTCCTATGCTCGTGCAGCCTAAGTGAAAGAGTTTCTTACAGTTGTAGCATTCAATAAAGTCCCTTTTTGTTATCTCTTCTCTGCATTTAAAACAATTTTTCGACATTTTGAAGTTTTACCTTTCTCGTGTAAAACCAATTAAAATAATTTTTGTTTTTGACTTATCGCCATCTATTGTGTTGCAGCTGTACTATTATTTTACTTATCTAACAAAGCATGCGATTTATCATCGATGGTCTATTAATCATTAGATTAGTTTTAGTTCGTTGCTTTTCCGGTAGATGGCGATTTACAACGCCATTTAGTTCACTTTGAGAAGATAGAATAGAATTAGCTGATTGGTCAGCTGACTTGTGTTTACAAATTTGAGCAGATAACGTTTTACCAATTGTGTAAAAATAGAAAATTCAATATTTTATGGATTAGTTTTTCACTTACGTTATAGTTTCTAGAAAGACTATGGAGAGGACACTTATTAATTCACCTGCATTTGGTCACTTCGAACTTTTATTACGGTGTTATCTACCTTATCAATACTGATTGATTTTCACACGATTTACACTAGTTTTCACTGGGATAATATTTCCACCGCTCGATCGTATCTATTTTTATATGGAACGCACTGATTTACTGTGTATAGAGCACTATTTTTTAATTTAAATAAATTTAATATGGAGCTCGATATTCGCCATGACAACTAGCGCCACCTTCCTTTAAAAAATAACCACCTTTAAAAATAACTTATCTGTTTTAAAATATATTCTAGATCTTTAATTGGTACTGTAATTATTATATGTATGTAGTGTCATCACTTCCTTAAAAAAGTTGACTGAACAGTCCACAGTTCATATAATATCATCAGTACCTGACTTAACTTGAGGAACGTATGACATACGCACTTCAAGCACTCCTTCTATGCCTTTAGTTGAGCCACTGATACCTCCACCTACTCCAGCTAAAGTGTTAACTGTTTCTGCGTCTTTCTTAGGGGGTATAAATATTTTCTTTTCTAAGATATCTTGTAAATTATCCAAGTCTGGTATAGTAGGATTATCGTTTATAGAGTCAGGTGTATTCTTTGGTTTAACATGTTCCCCGGCTTCTATGTGAGTTCCCTCCGCCCAGACACCTTCTTTCTTAGGTTTCTTTTTCGCTTGTGCCCTTGTGTTGGTCATCGGTTATTTTCTGGATCAAGTTTTAGTCATTTTAGTCAATTATTATACATAAATAATCCAATTACTTTACCATGACAAAGCACAAAACGTACGGGGACTAGAAAATATGAATATTTTACATTTATAAAAATATTTTATTTACAGAATAAAAGTAAATCCACAGAATAAATAATAGTACTACGTAGTAAAGCATTAAAACTATTATTAACAGACAGTTGACGCTTTTACTTTTTGATTATCATGCATAAAGATAATTTTGCTAAAAACATAATCATTTTGGGTGATATAAATATCACCATTAAATGCGTGACACCTAAAAAAATGTATTTCATAACCAACTCTTAACAGTATATAACTAAAAAAAATATTTTGGTATTTTTACGGTTAACATCATGTCTGCTAGTTACGTAATTACGATCTTAATACATGAACTATATGATAACATTGAGTTGGACATAAAAATACTTCGGTATCTGTCAATAAAATCTAGAGCAAATAAATGTTTAAATTTTCATTCGCCTTAATTAAATGTAAATTAAAGTATTTTCAGTCTTATACAAAAAGCTATTACACTGTAATGAAATTCTTATTCAGGGAGTGCAACAGCTGAATCACCGCATTGGATTTACATGTGGGAGTACAAGACCAGAGGCCATTAATGCCTGAGATGGGCACCCGCCGCGGCTCGGTGGCCACGGTTCAATTTAACTTCGCCTTCCCAGGGGCTTTTAATATTATAGCACACTTACGGGCAGTAAGTGTAACTTTTGCAATGATACAAGCCATTTATAGACGTTTTTATAAATAAAGTTAAATTTAAATGAGGAAGCGAAAATTCCTTCTACACCCATCACGGGCAAAAAGGTTTTCTTTTATTGATGATGCTATGAAGCGATTACAGTCGGTTTTTATTGTTAAAAATTAAAATAAATGCGAGTGAAACAAGTACATATGTAAATCTTAATCACAATAATAAAGAAGGTTTTTCACCAATTGATAACAATCACAAGTATAAATTACACAAAAAATTGTCGATGGATGTTTTCACCACAGATTCTACAAAAAAAAGGTGCACAGGTATATTCTATTTATTTGATCGTCACCTTAAACAAAACTGAGGAGTATCTCAAAATAAAAAATAAGCCTAAGAAAATACTGTATAATCCCAGTATTACTTCAGCAATCTTTTTTAGCTAAAATTCTTTATTTTACTTGTTGATTAATATCACAATTTGTTTTCCAACAATGAGAACAAAACTCTTGTGACGGGAAAAAACAAAATTACAATGATTATCTCATAACTTACTGATATACACGGTATGTTATAAAAAAATATTTGCTTCTGATGTTCTATTTATAAAAGTTTCCCGAAAAAAAAATGAAAATATCATGGTATCACTTCATTAAATATGAATAGAGAATTAGGGCCGCATCAGAAGTCTCACTAAGGTGTGCATATAGCTTAATTTGTTTCTAGTCACCACTGTGCGATCGAAATGATCTTACACATAACGGTGTCTACCGAATTGTGGAGAAAGAGGGGTCCTCAAGGTGACGAAAACACTTACGTGGATGTAACTGGGGGTATACACGCCAACTCCACGCTTTGGTGGAATTTTAGTCTAGTCTGCTCTATTCTTAATGTTTTAATACATTATTACATTATTAAATGTTACTTTCAAATCAATTAATTACTGCAATTGAACATCCTATCATCGTGATGAGGCATAAATGCATTCTTAGGTCAGTGCTCCCCGAACACTACACATTTATATTTTTGTCTCTATGAGAATTAAAACGTATTTATTAAAAGATTGAAAATACGTCTAAAGCATACATCAACGTAGTTAAAAAATACGGAGACGTCCTAACTTCAATCCGGTCTTAGTAAATATCCATTGTTTAGCGATTCCCGCACGCTATTTGCTGAAACATCCCTACAATCGTCGATCGTTCAGAACGTTTTTTGCTTCGTCTCTGTTTTCATTAAGGCTTCATTGTTAAGTCATTTTCTCTTCACTGTGCTTGTATACAAATTGTAGGTATGGGGCGCTTTATCACTTGTTGATCTTTGTGAACCTGGCTTTGTTGTAGAAGTTGATTTCTTGATTATTCTTTGCTGTTAGACGACCATAAAAAACAAGGCGTGTTTTAAAAAATTGAGTACTCAACAAATCTATTAAACAGATTTATATTTTTCTTCCGTGTAGGTACATTTTTTACCATTTCATCAATATTAACAGTTTTACAAAATATCGTGAGTGTGAAAAACCGGAGGTCCTTTATACTGGTAACAAGGCATTCTATCTTCTGACCTTAGGGGGTGACAACGCATCTGTAAGCTTTCTTCATTTGAAGTCGATCGCAGGTGTCTATGGGCTGCAGTAGACGATTACCATTAGGTGGATTGTAATTTCGTTTGTCACTTTTATTTTGTAAAAAAAATGATAGAATATATGTATTTAAAAAATATTACGTTATGTGAAATTAGGTACTAGCTAATACATATTTATGTTTAAAAAATGAATAGATTTTTTTTAAATAATAACTTCATTAAATTTTATCAAAAAGTTACGAGGAATGTGGAGAACACTCCACTCAATGACTGCAGACCATGCTTTACCCGTAGATCAACATTGCTTGCCACGTTACACAGGGATAAACGAGTAAGGAAAAATAAACGACCACAGATAGACGAGAAAGGAAAGAAAAATAAGGTAAAGTTGGATGCTGTTATTACAGATTATTACCTATGTATGTCGGGAAGATAATAGGAACCCGGGGCATAGATTGGAGGCGGAAGAAATCTCTCACCCTATTTATTCCAAACTGAACTATGTATTCGTAACAGATTCGATTACAGATAATTCTGAATCTCTACTGAGTTTCCATGCATACTAGTGTTTGTGGCCGGTGGTGATCGTGGGTGGTGGTGATTTTGGTGTACTTACAGTTACAACAAGTTCAAGGTCGCTCAATGAGCTCTAGAGAGGGTATTTCTTAAAATTTCTATGCGTGATAATTAGATATAAGGATATCCGCAGTAGAACCAGATTAACCGACATAGTTCAACGGTTCAATGAGCTACAGTGGCATTCAGTCGGAGAAACAAATAGCTTGATAAACCGACAGCCGATGGGAAAGATGTGTTCCTGAATGCTAGCTTCTTACTGGTAACATACGTATATGTAGAGCGCGTCCCGCTAGATGGGGTTGCGACCTAGTAAGACAAGGAAGTCGATGAATGCGGGTGGCTGAGTAACGTGCTTTACGGCATTTCAAGTTGGAAGCCAGTAGACTTTTGATTTTTTTTTCAGTCCAGGGTAATCACAATTCGGAGTAGGAGAAAGTGATTTTTGGGATATGAAAACAGTGCAATGTCATTTATATATGCATAGCAGTATGTATGTTATTATATATATATATATATATATATACATATATATATATATATATATATATATATATATATATATATATATATATATATATATATATATATATATATCATCATTATCATTACAGCCCTTCACAAGTCCACTGCTGAACATAGGCCTCCCCCAAGTAATGCCACAAAGCACGGTCCTGAGCCACCTGCATCCATCGACTTCCTGCATGTCTTACCAGGTCGTCACTCCATCTAGTGGGGGGTCGCCCTACACTACGCCTACCGGTACGAGGCTGCCACTCGAGAACCTTTCTTCCCCATCGGTTATCGGTTCTTCGAGCTATATGGCCGGCCCATTGCCACTTCAGCTTACTAATCCGTTGGGCTATGTCGGTAACTCTGGTTTTACTGCGGATATCCTCATTTCTGAGTCTATCACGCAGAGAAACTCCAAGCATAGCCCTCTCCATAGCTCGCTGAGCGACCTTAAGCGTCCTCATACGGCCAGCAGTGAAGGACCACGTCTCAGATCCGTAAGTCATCACTGGCAACACGCACTGGTTGTACAATCTAGTTTTTAGAGATTGAGGTATACCTGACGAAAAGATATGTCGTAATTTCCCGAACGCTGCCCAGCCGAGTTGAATCCGTCGATTGACCTCTCGGTCGAAGTTGGACTTACCTAGTCGGACTATTTGTCCCAGGTAAACGTACTCGTCAACAACTTCGAGCATAGTGCTCCCAACAACTACCGGCATAGGTGTGACATGGACATTAAACATGATCTTTGTTTTGTCCATGTTCATCTTAAGACCTATCCGTTGGGAGGCACTATTGAGGTCATTGAGCATAATGCTTAAGTCCTCCAGCGATTCTGCCATAATGACTATATCGTCGGCAAATCGAAGGTGAGTGATGTACTCGCCATTGATGTTAATACCGTATCCTTTCCAGTCCAGTAGCTTGAAAGCGTCTTCCAACGCAGCGGTGAAGAGTTTCGGGGATATAACATCACCCTGTCTTACACCTCTCTGCAGTTGGATAGGTTTCGAACTCTGGTTCTGTACTCGGATAGCCATCGTAGCCCTACTGTACAAACACTTCAGCACTTCGATGTACCGACAGTCAACTTGGCACCGCTGAAGAGACTGTAGCACCGCCCAAATTTCGACGGAATCAAAGGCTTTCTCATAGTCCACATATGCCAGGCAAAGTGGCAGATTGTACTCTTCGGTCTTCTGTACAATCTGCCGCAGGGTATGTATGTGGTCTATGGTACTGAAGCCTTTTCGGAAACCGGCTTGCTCGGGAGGCTGGAAGTCGTCGAGTCTGCGTGCGAGACGATTCGTAATGACTCTCGAAAATAGCATGTAGACGCGGCTCAGAAGGGAAATCGGTCTGTAGTTCTTCAAGAGAGCGTTGTCGCCTTTCTTAAAGAACAAAACCACCGCGCTTCTGCTCCACGCCTCCGGAGTAGTGCCACCATGGAGGACGGAATTGAAGAGCTTCCGAAGGACTTCAAGTACCGGTTTTCCACCCGCTTTCAGAAGCTCCGCTGTAATTCCATCCTCGCCCGGGGCCTTGCCGTTTTTAAGGTGGTGGAGAGCCATTC